TCAGAGGTTCCGAACTGGCCTTTGACGACCCCGCACTGGCCTTTGATGACCCCGGGCCCGCACTGGCCTCTGATGGCTCAGGCAGGTCTCGTAAGACCCACGTTGGAGTTCAAAGACCCATACTGCTGTGCGAGGTCTCACCCGGTTTATGAGGGTCAATTTCAATACTGGCCTTAACCCTCGCCGGCCGAGGGGGGGGGGGGCGGGTGCCGCCCCCCCCATAGGGTTTTTTCGCGATAGCTCCGAACACGCCGGCGATAGAGAGCTGAAACTTGGCATACCTGACCTTTGATTCAAGCCGGATCTTTTGACACCAACCGCATTTCCGGGTCATGTCAGGTCACTGACCTATGACGTCATAAGTGAACCTCTGCACGGTCTTCAGATGTCGCAACTTCGCAACGCCCTCACTGCCAGAGGAGCTTTCACAGGGAAATGAAACTTGCAGGAACTGGTATCCATGAGGAGTCCCACAACTTGTATATCTCGGATTTTTCCTAAAGGTCATACGAGGTCAGGTCATTTTCGTGACCTCACCATTATAAGTCAATGGGGAAAAATGAAAACTGCTATTCTGGCGCCGGGAACGATCTCCAACTATCTCAAGCACACAGAATCGTGATTTCATACACTCCTTGCAAGGTCCCATGCGTCACTTTTGCAATGTTGACCTTGCGTGACGTCATTTATGACGTCATTAGGGTCATATAAGTTTTTCGTCAATAACTTCCGATCAAATTGAGCTAGCGAGTCGGGAAAGCCACCAATGGACTCAGGAAGACCTGCCGAATCGAATGATATGCGATATGACCTCCTTCGACCAACTCCGTGACCTGGGGGCGCTGACCTGACCGTGACCTGAGGTCAACACCCTAAGATGACCTCACCCAAACAAAAAGTATATCATTCGACGCGCCTGAGCAAGGCGAACACGATGCTGCCAAAATCGCGGCTCTGCGGCCGTTTTTTGCGAAGTTATTCACCAAAAACCAAACCGTACCTTGGGGCACTTGACCTGACCTCAGAGGTCACCGGTTGACCTAGGACCTTAAAATCGGGTATCAATCTCTGCGTCTTGAAACGGCGCACACGCTCGTTTTTTCCGCGACGCGCTAGCTCCACCAGGGGCGAAACGGCGAGGGGGGGGTCGTACCCGCCCCCCCCCCTCGGCCGGCGCGTATGTAGAAAACCAATAGGTCCGGCGAGGGTTAAATGATCTTACGCCGGGCTTATATAAGGGTCTCATACTGGTTTCAGAAGTTTTCCGCTACTTACGAAAAACTTCAGGGGGAGGGGGGCGGATATTCCCCCCCCCCCCTCCGCGCTACGCGGGTTAAGCTAACACACCGCCCCCCAGCGAGGGTCTACAGGGGCCCCTTTGCCAATTCGCCCTCCCCCCCCCCCCAACGCCAAGTTTACGTCCGTACCTGGTGGCGCCCACTTTCGGACTATTGCGCCCCTCGGAACCGCTTTGGGCGCCCTTTCAGGGCTGTGCAACCCCAATAAAAAACAAAAAAATCCACCCCTGGACAATGGTAAAACAGTGCTATTATATGATATATGCAATCAGTTAAGCAAATACCGTAAACCGGGGTGAGTTGATATGGATTTTGAGGTTTTTCTATATTTCTTTAAAAGCCTCATTCATTTACGGAATTCTTTTTGTGCTAGTTTCATGGCACATGCCTTGGGGAGGCAATCAGCAAAAATGAATAAAAAATGTTTATATTAAGCCCCTTTTTTAAAACGCCAAAGTTCATATCAACTCACCCCCTGGGGGGGTGGTGAGTTGATATGGTTTTGGATTTATCAAAATTTCTCGGCTAGAGAAGCTCAGAGGTGAGTTGATAAAATGCCAGTGTTTAAAAAAAGGATGAGAGAACACATCCTGAAAGAAACCGTCAGAAAAAATGGTAGTAGTTTGGCAGCAGACCTCACATTCATGAAAACGCAATCATGTCCAACACAGCGCTATATAAATAGCTTGATTTTAGCAGCATCATTTTTTTGCTTTATGATGCTTAGTTTCACTTAGAACATTCTGAACTTGGCTAGTCACGTGTCCTCAAGCCAACGGTATCAAAACTGCCAATATATTTTGGAATTACAAGTGTATTTTCTTGTAATTAAAACACATTGTCAGTTACGGGTCAAGGTTGATATGCCTCTGACAGAGATAATGGATTGAAATGAAAGAATACATATGCTTCTGAGCTTTTGTTGACTGGTAGTCAACAAAATATTAATGAAGTGAAGTGAAGCGAATCTAATTCGGACTGTATTCTATCAGGTGAAATAAGCGACATAAAACAAAATTCGGCATCAAAGGCCAAAATTAACTCTCGCACTTATAGGCGGTCGAACGGACCACCTCGGCTTTTCGCACATAACTCGCGCAAAAAGCGGCTGATCGCGACGAAACTTTCAGTACCTCTCGAGTTTATCAATTTTACACATGTTTTAAAAATTTCATGACCCTGATCCAAATGGCTTTTGACTTGTTACCTGATTCTCGAGACCATGCTTGGCCGGAATCGCGATTTGGCGTATGTCGGCTCACATTATCCGCGCATTTCCATTCTTTTTGTGATTGTAACGTCCAAACATGTGAAATGATGTTGGTCCCATGCAGTATGGTGGGGTCAACTGTCAAGGTCACCTGAAGGTCAGGTCAGGTCATTGACCTTTGGTGACCTCGGTTCACTTTTTGGAGTTTTACATGTTCCTAGGGTATTTTTTTCGGGCCGATTTCGAATTTAACATGCATTTGATCATTTGCGAAGTAGTTTTAGTGCCTTCGTAACATGTTACGACACCGTCAGTGGTAGTTGACACTTGACACTTCCTATGGATAGCCGGCAGGACACCTACTGGTTGACCTGACCTGACCTGACCTGGCCTAAATGTACGAAGACATCTGTGATCAAAACTAACATGACATTCGTGATCAGCAACCCCCCAAAAATAATAACAACCTCGCTTTACGAACTTCAAATAACCCCCTACTTTCCAGACTTCTGGGTAATTGACCTGACCTGGAAGGTTAACCAATGACCTAGGACCTTAAAGTTGGTTATCATCGGCTTCCTCGCGTCTCGGGCAACACGCTCGTTTTTTCCGCGAAGCTCTAGCTCCATCGGCCAAACGACGATTGGATTCCAACAGACCCCCCGTCCCCTATACGACAGACGCTGGCAAAACACGAATACGGGCGAGGGTTAAAACACCAGTCAATTTCTTTATATTGGTTGTTCCATTTCATTTTGTCACTCATTCTCGGTTGGCAACTGCCAAGCAGGAAAACTAATCAGTTTCACGAGATCAGAATTCCCGCGCTGAAAGCCATACAGAAACGACAGTTCTGTTTTTTCGAAACTACGGATAATTATAGCAATTTTTTAATCTGTATGTATATAGGTATTCTATAGTATTCCTTTGTAACTTGTAGGGAGCCATCTTGTGACTTGACAGGGAGTTGTGCTGTGCCTTTTGCATGTTAGGTATGTCCACAGAAAAAAAAAACACTTTGGGGTCACTAATGTTAGTTGTCGGACCTTTGTCCCCGTCTTGAGTTGAGGTGTTTCTTTCGCAACGTATCGGCCAGTTACTCTCCGGCCGTCGTCAGGTGTTTTTTGACCCTCAGAAGGGCGTGGATGTTGGTGGCGTTGCGCCGTACGCGTCATACCGTTCGAAAGCTCCTGTAGTCAGCGGGAATCGAACTCGGGTTTCCCCGGTGATGGTCCACGGTTCTAAGCACTCCACTATCGAGGCAAATATGACTACCGCCAGAGAAGTTACTGGCTGAAACGTTGTGAAACTAACATCTCAACTCAAGACGGGGACGAAAGTCCGACAACTAACATCAGTGATACCTCGTCTCAAGCATTCAGAAAAGCTAAAGCTTTGGGGGGGGGGGTTGCTGGGGTGATGCATGGGGAGAGAAAAGGAGAAGAGTTGGTCTAATTGGCTTTGTCTTACCTGCAGACCCATATTTCATGCTAAGTTGCATGCATACCAGCCTGGTATCAGCCCTTATCATGCATATCAACTCACCACCTGATGGCATATCAACTCACCACCTGTCACTTTTCTTAAAATTTAAAAAAAAAACGTTGTTATAGATGAAACCCAAAACTACCTGGGATCAACAGTAAATTGATGGTAGATTCTTTCCCACTGCATGTTGTTCCATGAATATCCACCGTCTCTGCTGTAGGGTGGGGACTTTTCCTTAGTTTCAAAATCAGAAGAAAAAAGGACTTTGAAAAAAGTAATGTGTTAAGAAGGCACTGCACCACATGCATGCCTTTCTCAGCAATATGCATCACTTATTAGTTGCTTCACTTCACAAAAAAAAGAAAACTGAAAATTGGTTTACAAATGGATGAGCAGCACACATTTTAACATTTTTCGAGCAATTTATATCAACTCACCACCCCATATCAACTCACCCCGGTTTACGGTACATTGAACTTAACACGCGCAGTGGAAGGGGGGGGGGGGGGCGGATTACGCCCACCCCTCCTGTTTTTCGCCAATAACTCGCGCCGAAAGCATAATATCAATGTGAAATTTCGGCTACCTATCCAGAATTGAATTGCGGATCTTCTCGTGCAAGAAGTAAGAAAATCGGTTCACAACTTTTCTAGTAATAGCGGTGTAAAGTCAAACATCCTGCCGCCGCCGCGGCGCGGCGGCGCGGCGGCCGGCGCTAGCCGTTACGCGCCGCCTGAATTGTAGACTGTGCCGGGGCGGGACGGTTCCGTCTTTACATCGCGCTCCTTACCGCTGATTACATTAGATTCGCGTCAAATTCGGTGAGAAGACTGAGAAATGTACAGGCAATCATATGGTTAAAGAATTTTGAAAATCGGCCGGTAAAAACTTGAGTTATGAGTGTGTAAACACAAAATTGTGATTGCCGCGTTTCCCGCGTCGGCCGATGCCGCTTCAGCCGGCGACATCTTACCCTTAGCAGGCTTCTAACTGCCATATTTATTGTTGGATTATCTAGAAATTCACCATACATACTCACAAATGTTTGCTCTTTCGTATAATGAAACATTAAAAAAATCGGCCGGTAACTTTTTGAGTTATCGGCGTGTAAACGCAAAAAAGTCGCTAATATGGCAGATTTGACCACATTTGACCTCATTTGACCTTGAAGATATTGACCTAGGGTCATGAAATTCACACACAACAGAGTTCCCCATGGCCTTCACCTACCCTCCAAATTTCGTCTTTCTAGCTCCAGTGGGAGCTGAGATCTTAGGGGGGGGCGACATCCGCCCCCCCCCCCCCTTCCACTGGGCGTAGTACTCGCAACCCTTCCACTGCGCGTGTTAATTGAACAGTGCAACACAATTGTTATGAGTATGATCAACTAACTCTGAACGAATATGTCACTGAGTGAACAGTCCTCCTCCATTTTGGAGCTCAGTTAGCTTCATTATTTCGTAAAGCACATTGGCTATGTATCACACCTGTCTCCATGAGGTCCGACAACGGCACACCGTTACTCGGTGTCCGCCATTCACTGAGCCCGTATATCAGCGGTCTGTCCGTGCTGCCGCTGCTCACCGTATATCTCCAGTACTGTGACCGTCCGTCCCAGGTCAGCCAGGCGGCTGATGGTGTCGGCAGCCACCCCCTGGAGCGACACTGACAGACCACGAACCAACGGGTTTAATTCCGGCCACCTCGGCTCCGTCACCTCCGGCCCTGTCGGACAGAGCTGTGTCAGCCGACTGCAGTCGGACAGAGCTGCCGCCAGCTCCCCGCTGCACCACTGACACCAGAGTGTCAGACACTGACACAGCCAGCACTGACACAGCCGAGCGGCTTGAGAGCGATATTTAGCACCACCTATCATATGCAAATGTGCGAATATCAACAACATAAGTAACTGCGACATTCCCTCAGGCCTCAGCTCAGCACATGCGTTATAAACAGTGAAGGTATAAGGGTAACATCAAATTGGCAGTTTAACGAATTACACTACACTGTAAACCAAATTGACAAGTCTTGCGTAAGATAACCAATCATCTCTTGGTATATTTACCAACTGATACTTTTTAAACAAGCCATTGTCTGGTGCATTGCTTGTCAGGTGACAACTACGAGTCAATAGTTACTATGCACACCAACTTCTCAGTATCCAGACCAACTCTACATTTGTTTCAACGTTTGTTTCTTAACCAGTTTTGGAAACTTGTTTCCGCATGGTTATTCAACCGGCGTCTGACTTGTACTGGTCAGCTGGTCAGCATACACATGGTCAGCTGCGCCTGACGTCAGACTTGGCGGACCAATCAGCGGTCGCCTGCAGCCGTTGGCGGGCCCCGGCGATGCAGGTTTCAAACCAACAGTCGTTGCGCGACCGTCACGCGATGGAGCAGCGACGAGGGCTGTTCCAGAATTTGTGCAGTGAGAAGTGAAATCTGTGAACTGCGGTGTTCGTGCTGTGAGTGATGCCCCCGCTGGCCTGCGGGATGCACTAACCGTGCCTACCCGCGACCGAGGCGCCTCGCTTCCCCTGCGTGCGCAATGTAAGTGGGCCAGACCTGTGCACGCACATGTGAACAGATGTTTTGCGGTCGGCGGTTTCTTATATAAATACATTTATTTGCCTTTAATTCAACTCTTTGTATTTTTAACTTACTGATGGACATATATGGGCTGTAAAAGCTAATCTCATGATTTATTAAAAGTTGGCACTCATGATTTATTCGAATTATCTGCGTGATCGTGCAACTGCGACGATTGTTAGGCTTAGTGTTCAGGAAATATTCGTCATACGGGCAATGGGCATGCTATACTTCTGGCTTGATGCGGTGCACAAAACCATGTTCTTCCACATGGGCATCAATTCTTGCTTCAAAGACTTATATGATGACGGTGCACGATATACCTACTGGGGTTAGCTCATGCATTCACCACATCCATTCGAAAATATGCACTCGGAATTGTCTCCAGTCATAGTATTAATTACGTGACCGTAATAAATACTATTCATTCCAGAAACTTCCGAATGGATGTGGTGTATAACCCATCAGTATTTCATCAACAAACCAGTTTATCAACAAACCAGGGGTGGGTGAACCAACAAGGAAACGCCTATGCCTATCCAGAAGTTGGTAGGTCCACAAGGCTCAGACTAGTACATCAACAAGGCGACGCCTATGCGAATTGGAACCAAACTTGTAGATAAACTGTTAGTTTGTTGGCCAACACGCCTGGGGTTGGTGAATCGACAAGGTATCGACAAGGTGACGCCTATGCGAATTGGAACCAAACTTGTAGACAAACTGTTAGTTTGTTGGCCAACAAGCCTGGGATTGGTGAATCGACAAGGTATCGACAAGGTGACGCCTATGCGAATTGGAACCAAACTTGTAACAAGGAGCCAACTTGTAGATTTGGTTTACAGTGTACTCGAAGCAGTTGCAAGGTAAAATTAGCCCTCATCTACATTAAAATTAGCCCTCATGTATATGATTGTTAATTAATAGTGATGTCAATTACGGAAAATTGTGATACCGATACCAAACCAAATACCAACAATAGCAATGGAAAAATACCGAAACCGAACCGACTTGGGAATGGTGAGGGAAATACCAACTATTTACCAAGTTCTCAGCCTCTTTTACATTAATGAGGATTCATAATACCAACAAAATACCAAATGCATTCGCTTTGAAATACCAAATACCAAGTTGGTATCGGTTTGGTATCGGTATACCAAAAAGTTGGTATCCGATTGACATCTCTAATTGAACATATACACCTTTTTTCAATCCGAATCGGCATCCGTTCATTCAATTACGGCAGCGGGCACCTTATCTCGACAGGCACTCCAACAACTCGACACTGGAGCACGCATTTCGACACGTTTCACGGATTTAGACTAGCATCTGTTGATATTCGACCAGGGTCATTGAACAACGGCAGGGGCATTTAATATCGACAAAGGGCATTCTGTTTTGTCATATTGCATTTTATGTCGGCAGCTTGCAGCCAAGCTAGACAATGGTCAATTTATCTAATCAGTGAATTAGGCAACTCTTATCTTTTCGGAAAGGCATTTTAAGAATGTGCGTTTAAACGTTCCACGGTACTGTAAAGAGACACTCAATATGGGCGCTTGGTTGCTAAGTAACCACACCTTTTTCAATCGGAATCGGCAACCGTTCATTGAAATACGGCAACGGGCACCTACACCTTTTTTCAATCCGAATCGGCATCCGTTCATTCAAATACGGCAGCGGGCACCTTATCTCGACAGGCATTCTAACAACTCGACACTGGAGCACGCATTTCGACACGTTTCACGGATTTAGACTAGCATCTGTTGATATTCGACCAGGGTCACTGAACAACGGCAGGGGCATTTAATATCGACAAAGGGCATTCCGTTTAGTCATATTGCATTTTACTTCGGCAGCTTGCAGCCTAGCTAGACATTGGTCAATTTATTTCATCAGTGAATTAAGCAACTCTAATCTTTTTGGAAAGGCATTTTAAGGATCCGTGTTAAAATGCTCCACGATGCTGTAAAGAGCCCCTCAATATGGGCGCTTGGTTGCTAAGTAACCACACCTTCTTCGATCCGAATCGGCAACCGTTCATTCGAATACGGCAACGGGCACCTATGTAATTTCGTCAGTCACTCTGGAACCTCTGGAACACCAGTTCGTCCTTGCGTGTTATTGTGTGACAATGTGGAAGCACAGGCAAATCCAAAGGGTGACTGGGGTCATTCGGGACCTCGCTCCGGGCGGATCCAAAGGGTGAAGGGGGTCATTTGGGGCCTCGCTCCTTCCCACCGCATCCAAAGCATAACGTTGTTTTTGCCATGTTTCTTGCATGAAAAAAGAAACAAAAATATTGGTTTTTCCATTTTTGTGGACCTGTCGACACATCGTGAGTGGTGCTGACCGCCAGCACGGATGGTTCAGGTCTGCCGAGATGGACATGGGTGTGTCACCGAAGAGCGACAGCAATGTTTACAGGACGGCGGTGTGGTCAGCCATTGGTCAACTGCATCTCTGAGTCTGGACGAAAAAAAGACTGCCGTCCAGAAAGGTGGAAACGCAACGGGCTGACCCTTTGATCGTTTTGGCCACTTCTCCTTACCGAGGTCCGAGACCATTTTATACCAGCGCCGGGTCAGCTACCGCGGCTCACCGGTCACTGGTAGACTCACCCCAATGTTCCCTCCGCACGATCCTCTTATCTCACGACTTTGACTTGGCTTGCAAGCCTACTCACCCTCCATCTACAGAAAAAAAAAAACACTTTTAGACCTCAAAACCACGGCTTTGGTGTACTATGAGTTCCATTAGTCCTCGGAAAGTCTAACAAAAGGAAAATGCCATAAATTCAAGTGGTAAGCATTGGAAACACATCAATATACAAAATGTGGTATGAAATTTGCTTGATTTTGCTTGTTATAACGCCAACGAAACTGAATGACCATTGCCATTGTAAAATGAAATTTGCCTTTTTCCAATGCCCGATGTCACAGTCCTATGCCGTGTGCCGAAGTCCATTGGCCAGTGTCGAAACCACGCTCAATGTCGAAATTAAATGCCCCATGTCACGCTGCTGCACTATGCCGAGTTTGGAGCGTGGTTTGTCGAAGGCGCACTCCGGCTGACGTTCCTAATGCAGATCTGCCGAAACTAACTGACCGGATGCCGATTCGGATTGAAAAAAGGTGTAATTTCGTCAGTCGCTCTGGAACCTTAACACCGGTTCGTCCCTAACATCACCCGCTTCCGGCACACAAACTGACCTCATTCGAGGTCACCATCCTTGCGTCACTCTGTGACAATGTGGAAGCACTGGCGAATCCAAAGGGCGACGGGGGTCATTCGGGGCCACGCTCCTGGCGAATCTAAAGGTTGACGGGGGTGATTCGGGGCCTCGCTCCTCTCAACGCATCTAAAGTTGACAATGTTTTAGCCGTATTTCTTGCATGAAAAACAAAAATCTTGATTTTTTTCATTTGTGTCTATCTGTCGACACATTGTGAGTGGCGCTGACCGCCAGCGCGGATGGTTCAGGTCTGCCGAGATGGGAATGGGCGTGTCACCGGAGAGCGGCAACAATGTTTGCAGGACGGCGGTGTGGTCAGTCATGGTCAACTGTATTTCCGGACAAAAAAAAAACTGCCCTCTGGAAAGGTGGAAACCCTGCGGGCTGACCCATCGATCGCTTTGGCTGCATATCCGTAGCGGGACAATTTACCGGCGCCTTGTCAGCCGCCGCAGCTCACCGGTCACTGGTAGACTCACCCAAATGCTTCCTTCGCATGATCTTCTCATCTCACGACTCTGACATGGCTTGCTAGCCTACTCACCCTCCATTCACAGAAAAAAAAAAACGTTTAGACCTTAAAACAACGGCCTTGACGTACATTTTGTATTTTGTGTTCCATTACTCCAAGGGAAGTCTAAGAAAAGGAAAAAATGCTATAAATTCTAGTGGTAAGCATTGAAAACGCATCAATATAAAAAGTATGGTTTGAAATTTGTTCGATTTAACTTGTTATACCGCCAACGAAACTGCATGACCATTGCCATTGTAAAATGAAATTTGCCTTTTTCCAATGCCCGATGTCACAGTCCTTTGCCGTGTGCCGAAATCCATTGGCCAGTGTCGAAATCACGCTCATTGTCGACATTAAATGCCCCATGTCACGCTGCTGCACTATGCCGAGTTTGAGGCGTGGTTTGTCGAAAGCGCACTCCAGCTGACGTTCCTAATGCAGATCTGCCGAAACTAACTGACCAGATGCCGATTCGGATCGAAAAAAGGTGTATATACCTATTACATACATATAGACACCGCGTATGCATTGGTATAACTTTGTATGTTTATGTATTACATGCATGCACTTCATACAGCTGTAAGCATTGCAAGTTGCAACCCATCCCCCAATGTCATGCACATGCAACGCTGTGTTTTGTTGGCCAAATCTGATTGGCTCGTCCATTTGCCGTCTTCGCTGACCATTTGCATATACCGGCATTACACGTGTGATCCGCGGTATGTACCTCACCTCTGACATTGAGGAAGCTGAGACCCTCCGGCAGCTGTCCCCTCAGTCGCGGGAGGTCGGCGGCGGAGACTGACAGGCGTTTCACAGTCTCCCGTGAGCTCCGCAGCTTCGTCAGCTCGCTGTCACCGACTCCGGCCGGAAGGATGACAGTGTTTGGGCCCACCCTGATGATGGCACCACGAAGTTGACTTGGGATAGTAGTCACTTGTGCTGGAAAGGTGATCGAACCAATGTCAGGCATTGGCCTAGGTCAAACATAAGTGTGCGTACACTTACAGGTGTAGCAAACACAAAGTAAAAACTGTTTGTGGCTACATTCAACAATGCTGTGATAATTCCGTGCTTACACTGTAAACTCAGTTTGACAAGGGGTTGTCGTACAACGACGAGCGTTTGTCAAAAATACTAATAAAGGTAATGTCGAACAATGAATATCTTGTCATAGTTGGTTGAATCAACAGGGCAAATATAAGTATCAGCCCCAGCACCTAGTCGACCATTCATACCATTGACGAGGATTATGGAGGCTATTGTGAAAACTACTAGGGGCTTATTCGTAATATGGAACATAGATTCGCTTGTGATTTGTAATTTATATCATTGTCGAAAGAACCAGCTACACCTTTGCAACAATACTGATACATACTTATGTAATCTATGTCCTTGTAGAAGGTATCAGCTACACCTTTGCAACACGGACTTAGTTACGCTAGTTAGACATGTTAGTGTAACATACACAAAGCTGTTACTTGTTATATAGGTGGCGCCAAAAACGTTTCCGGTCGTTTTATTTTGAAATAATTTCAGTTGCGCGCCAACCGCCGTGCAGTGATGTGGCCTCCTGCGCACTTCCGTGAAAGTGGTATAGGTATAGTTCGTTTTTTTTCAAAAGGACTCTGGCCCCAAGTTCATTATCGAAGCTCTCACGTGAATTTTGGCAGCTTTAGCGTCTGGCCAAGAATTTCTTACCGAAAAAATATTCAATTTCAAATTATGCTCGGTAAGTACCTGGAAATTGTGTCTTAAAAAATGAACATACTATGATGACGTCACTGGAGGCAGCAGGCATCCAATTTCCGAACGACGTGACAAAGTGTCGACGAATTTGGGGGAAACTTCGTTTTTCGCTGTTGCCGAAGTTATAATCGAGTACGCGGTTCCGTCCATGATAGTTATACGCCACATTGCAATACAAGTTCGACAGCATGACGTAACCAATGTTCTCATATTATGTTCCAAAACGCACGTATGGAAATTATCGGGAAGAAATCACATGTTAAAATTAGTCGACGTTCGATTTTCTCAGGTTCAGTTTTTGCCCGTTTTGCTCGCTAAAACACGTGCTTATTCGAAAATCATACTTGGAGCCAGAGTCCTTTTGAAAAAAAACGAACTATAATAACAGTGTTCGGTTGCTTTTGCCATTTTTTATTGAAATGTATACGTGAAAACTTTATCACCAGTATAACGCCTTTTGGGGCGAGTAACGGAGCGAGCGAGAGGGTTAGCCTTGCACGTGCGAAATTTCGCCGGGGTACCTCCAACTGACTTGTGCACGGCACCCTACTAACCGGTCTCTAGCGATGTGCCAAATTTGAGCACAATCGGCCCAGCCGTTCTCGAGATCTGGAAGCGGCACCCTGCACGTGCGCACGTGCAAAATGGGTCCCAACTGACTTGTGCACGGCACCCTACTAACTAGTCCCTAACCGTGTACCAAATTCGAGCGCCATCGGTCCAGCCGTTCTCGAGATCTGGAAACGACCCCTGCACGTGCGCACGTGCAGCAGCACCCCAACTCTGGCACATGGATATGCAGTGCCTAGTGGGTGCCTACCTACATGCCAACTTTCAGCGCAATCGGCCAAGTAGTTACCGAGAATTTCTAACAATTACAAAAGTGACACCTCTTCGTTTTGCACGTGGCACGTGCATAAGGTGTCACCCACATGCATCAGGAATAGTCCAATACTTGGTAGAAGGAATGAAGCTACCCTACAAAAATTACCGCATGTAAATCGGTCAAGTGGTTGCGGAGATATAAGCGTCGCAGAATCGTGACCACGGCCGGCCGGCCGGCCGGCCGGCCGCTCATACTCAGAAATTTCCGTTGTTCTACGTAAGACTCCGCTCGCTTCGCTCGCTCCGTAAAAACGATTATAATTACCTAAATTAGGTACGTGTGACTATCTGAACAAGAATATTCACCAGTATAACGCCTTTTGGGGCGACTAACGGAGCGAGCGAGAGGGTGGGCCTTGCACGTGCGAAATTTCGAGGGGGTACCTCCAACTGACTTGTGCACGGCACCATACTAACCGGTCTCTAGCAATGTGCCAAATTTGAGCACAATCGGCCCAGCCGTTCTCGAGATCTGGAAGCGGCACCCTGCACGTGCGCACGTGCAAAATGGGTCCCAACTGACTTGTGCACGGCACCCTACTAACTGGTCCCTAACCGTGTACCAAATTTGAGCGCAATCGGTCCAGCCGTTCTCGAGATCTGTAAACGACCCCTGCACGTGCGCACGTGCAGCAGCACCCCAACTCTGGCACATGGATATGCAGTGCCTAGTGGGTGCCCACCTACATGCCAACTTTCAGCGCAATCGGCCGAGTAGTTACCGAGATATTGCAACAATTACAAAACTGACACCTCTTCGTTTTGCACGTGGCACGTGCATAAGGGGTCACCCACATGCATCGGGAATAGTCCAATACTTGGTAGAAGGAATGAAGCTACCCTACAAAAATTACCGCGTGTAAATCGGTCAAGTGGTTGCTGAGATATAAGCCTCGCAAAAGCGTCCGCACGGCCGGCCGGCCGGCCGGCCGGCCGGCCGCTCATACCCAGAAATTTCCGTTAATCTAAGGAAAGACTCCGCTCGCTTCGCTCGCTCCGTAAACACACCAAATGATCATGTTTTTTTTGCATATAAAATAAAAATATATTTTAACCCTATTAGTGGCAGGCTCCTGGCTACCCCTATTAGTGGCAGGGGGGCTGTTTACGACCCCCCTGATATCTCGAGATCTAACGGGCCGATTTTCAAAATTCAAACGGCATTCGATTTCGCTCAACGTGATCTACATTTCTAAAAAAATGTCAATAGGGGGGTAGAGGGGGGTAAAAACGGGCAAAATGCAGATACATTTTAGACTGTTTATCACGGCCAGGTTTCTAAACCAATCTTAACGCAACTTTTGCCGATCGATAGAGAATGAACCAGGAATTCACATGGATCCTAAAAATAAGCATTTTCAAAAACCATAGGCGGATACAGAGCATTGAGATTGGGGGTACACAAAAAGTATAGTAAATAAGGTTTTTGTTGGTACTGTTTCTAAAAAGGGTGGTAATGGTCTTGTTATGTTACAATTTTCTTATGAGAGAACGACTACAATAAACAATTGTATTGGTCATGCATAGGCGGTGTCAGGGCACCTATGTTGGGAGGTAAAACATAACCCCCCCTTTTTTGGACGCCTGGATCCGCCTATTATAGCAAAAATGTGTCAAAAGAGGATGCACAATTATTTTGTATATGTTATCACATGATATCTTTCATTCACTGTTCGTAAAACTGGTGCATACAGTTATAATACATCAGCATCGTGATCTTCGCCCAAATGACTCGCTTCACGAATAGGACCCCCCATTCCCAGTGCTCTGGAGCCGCCCCTGGTAAAGTTATGAGCTTGAAATTTTCAGGGAATGTGCCCAATTTAGTTTTAGGAAAAGTCAGAAAATTTCAGCATCGTAGCTTCAGCGGTTTCGGAGATATTCCCGAAAAACCTGAGGGGTGGATGAAAACAACCCCCCCTGCCACTAATAGGGTTAAATCAGTACATTATATTCCGCGCTAAGCATACTTTTCATATTGTCAATTTATCAATAGGTATGATACCTTTTAGAACCCTGTTACATATTTTGTTCAGCACTGTAATTATTCCATGTTTGTATCGTTATCAATATTTCATCACCAATCCCACGTCGGATACAAGCCCCAATCATTGATCATCACCATTCACCACACGACTTGTCATCCTACGGCTTACCATGGCTTATGGCGTGCGTCTTACCTTGGGATGAGGCAGCATTACCTACCCACATAACCCGCGCCGGGCCGGTGCTCTGAGATTCCGCGCCGGGCCGGGGGGGGTGGTGTCTGAACACCCCCCCCCCCTTCTAACTCGGCTCCTGGGCCACGTAGCGACACGCGGTAAGCGGCAATCGAAAGAACGTCCAAAATAAGGACGAAAACACTTCGGTCATTTTTTGGGTCAGGTCAAAGGTCAGGTCACCAGAGGTCACCAAAGGTAAAATGTTGACTATTTCAACATTTTGGAAACTGCCAACGGCTATCTCGGGAACCGATAGAGCTACAGCGCCGCGGAAAAGCGCATTCGATAGCCCTTTTACAGGCCTTTCTGAGTAATGTTCTCAGATTTGACCTCAGGTCAACGGTTTAGCCTCCAGAGGACAAAAACTCCAAAAATAGCCGTTTTTACGAAAATCGGTTTTTCGGCGATAACTTTTGACTCAAAAGAGCCATGACATTACTTTTGCCAGCATCGTGTTCCTCTCGTCGAGACGCGTCGAGTGAACTATAAGTTGACCTTGAAAGGTCAACTTGAAAATTTGACCTCAGGTCAAGGTCATGACCTGACCGGAAAAGGTCATGTTGCATATCAGTCGATCCGCAACGTCGAGCCGAACACATCTAAGGCGTTTTCAGCGCTCTAGGACGCCTCTATCAGAAGTTATTAGCGAAAAACTGTTAGATTCTGTTCGTGACCTGAGATGACCTCGGGGACATAACGAGGGGTCACAGTTGCCATTTTCTGGTTCAGTGTGTCAATTTTACCTACATCTCGATGTTTGAGAGTGTCTAGAATGGCGTTCGTGCAAAACAGACGCTTTTCAATTTTCTCCCATTGACTTATAATGGAGAGGCCGCAAAATTGGCCTGACCTTAGGTCACCGATATCAAAATTCCGAGATATACATTTTGTAGATACTGTTGCTCTAATCAATCGCTGAAAGTTTCAAGGCAATCGATCAATCGGTGTAGCTATGACGAGCATTCTTATTTTTTTCTGAGGTGAGGTCACTTGGCGTGACCTGGTGACCTGACCTAAGGCGACCTGGGTCTGAAGTTTTCACAACATGTGCGGAAAAGATGTACCAACAGGTGTGCCAAAAACGGCGGCGCTCCGCGCCGCCGTTTTTGAGATATCTGCGAAAAACCGCAGGGGGGGTGTTCAAACACCCCCCCCCGGCCCGGCGCGGGATAAGTATGTGTGTGCTGGGTCCAGTGATTCTTGGTTTGATTTAGGCTTTGGAGGTCCAGGGAGAAACTGATTTAACTTATTTATAGATATTTGCTGAAAAAGACTATGGCAGTGCAGTACTTTAGAAGAGATTACGTTCAAAGCACGGTGCCGCCGGCCTGTTTCTCCGTTCTTCGTGTCCCCGTGTCGCCCCTGGCCCCTGCCCCGTTCAGGAGCGCCCGGCAGCGCCACCTGCACCTGACCAGTCCGGCAGCGTTTGGGGTCGCCTCGCACCGCCGACAATCAGCTGACGCGGCCGGCGGCGAGTCTCAAGGTCACTGGAGGTCAGCCGGGCCGCGGCCCGCCGGGGTGGCCGTGACGTCACAGCCAGCGAACGCTGAGCGCCGGAACAGCTACTGTTGTTTATCCCATAGGCGTAGGAACAGGGGGGCCAGGTGGGCAAGTGCCCACCCACTTTTCGAGGTGGGGGGCCAACCATGTGTTTTGGCCCACCCACTTTTTACTCGAGGCCCCTCGTCTCGATTTGAGAGGACGTCGTCACCTTCCAGAATAAACAAACTCGGTAAAAATAAGTTCCACGAATCCCCACGCACGGACTCCAAGGGGCCGTGATTGATCCAAGGAGGGCCTCTGTTCATACTTATCAGTCGAAGCCCCTGAGACTGATGGCCTGAGAGGCCCTAGTGGATCTGAGGAGGCCCCAATATCCACACTGGTCTGGGAGGCCCCTCCATCCACACTAGTCTGGGAGGCCCCTCCATCCACACTAGTCAGAATAGGCCCCTGACACTGGCGGTCTAGCCGAGGCCCCCTACCCTCACTAGTCAGAGGAGGCCCATCTATCCTCAATAGTCAGAAGAGGCCCCTGAGACTGATGGTCTGGGAGGCCTATCCATCTACACTGTAGTCAGAGGAGGCCCCTGAGACTGATGACCTGAGAGGCCCTTATAATCACACCAGGCAGAAGAGGCCCATGATACTGATGGACTGAGAGGCCCTTCTATTCATACTGGCCACAGGAGACCCCCAAAACTTTCGGTCTAGGAGGTCCCTCAATCCGGCACCAGTCAGAAGAGTCCCCTGAGACTGATGCCCTGGGAAGCCCTTATATTCACACTAGGCAGAGGAGGCCCCTGAGACTGATGGTATGAGAGGCCCTCATATTCACACCAGTCAGAAGAGGCCCCCGAGGCTGATGGCTGTGAGGCCCTTCTGTTCATATAACTGGCCACTGGAGACCCCTGAAACCGGTGGTCTGGGAGGGCCCTCTATCCACACTAGTCAGAAGAGGCCCATGAGACCGATGGTCTGAGAGGCTCTTATATGCATACTGGCCACAAGAGGCCCCTGAGACTGATAGAGAGGTCCACTCGTAATGAATCTGAGGGGGCCCTCTATCCACATTTACACTTTTCTAGGGAGGCCCCCGGGATTGATGGTCTGAGAGGCCCTTTTATTCATACTGTCCACAGGGGCCCCCTGAGATTAATGGTCTGAGAGGCTCTTCTATTTATACTAACCAGAAGAGGCCCCTAGGATTGATGGTCTAACAGGCCCTTCTATTTATACTAGCCAGAGGAGGCCCATGAGACTGATGGTCTGAGAGGCCCTTCTATTCAAACTAGGCAGATGAGGCCCCTGAGAATGATAGTCCGAAGAGCCATGCGGCGGCAACTGGCCGTGGCCATATTTCGGCTCGGTAGGGCCCTACAGAGCTCATGAGAGCACCTCAAGGGCTCCTAAGTAGACACGCTTATCCCCATAAGGGTGCCACACCGGCTTCTGAAGGCTCCTTGTAGGCATCTAAGGGCCCTTTTCGGCCTCTAACGGCTCCACCCGCCTGTGATGGCTCCACACCAGTGGTTATGAGCGCCACACAGCGGCGCCTTTGAGGGTCATACTAGTGTCTCTTAGGGCCCTATATCGGTGGCTCTGGGGGCCCCACACCGGCGCCTCTGTGGGCCACCACACCTGTGCATCTCAAGGCTCTATATGTACATCTGAAGGACCCACACCGACACCTCTGAGGGCCCCACACCAGTATCTTGGAGCTCTGAAGGCCCCACACCGCGGTGACTCTGAGGACTCACCGGCTCCTGAGAGCACCATGTTGATGTCTAACGGCTCCACAAGGCCACTGAAGGCACCACGCGAACTCTCACTGAGCTCTAATGTCCATGTACCGGCCTCTGAGGGATTTAAGCCAGCGCATTCATAGCTCCACACCAGCAATTGTAAGGGCTTCACACTGAAGTATCTGAGGGTTCCACACCGGTGTCTCTAAGGGCCACATACTGGCATCTCTGAGGGCCCCATACCGGCGTCTCCGAGGGTCCACATCTGGCGGGCACCCATCAGCGACTGAAGGTCCCACACTGTCGACTCCGAGAGCCCCATCTGCGTCTGGGAGCACCATGCCGTCTCTAAGAACCACAGCGGCTCCTCCGTACGAAAGATGGGCGTCTGCATGCCAAAGGGGAGCGGTTCTGAGACAGTAGGGCACCTACGTGCAATAGAGAGGCGCCTATGAAGCCCATAGGGGCGCCTCAATGCGAAAGAGGGGCGCCTCTGAGGCCTACATATATGGGCGTCCACATGCAATAGAGGTCAGCAAATTGCAATTGATCAATGCCATGGGGGTGCATTCATAAGAAACAGGGGCGCCGGCATGGCAAAAGAGCATGGCCTTCAAGTGTCCATAAGAGAGAGACGCCTATGATAAGCGCACATTGTATGCGACAACGGGGCGAGTGTGGGACATATAGGGATGTCTCTGATGACTATAGGCACATAGGGCGCTTATATGCCAAAGAGGGCGCCTATGAAGCTAATGGGGGCACCTGGGAAACGACGAAGACATTTGTGTAAGGGTTTTCAGGGGTCATGCGCCGTTTGCGGCAAATAGATTCTAAAAAAAATCGGAGGGGGAAGAAGTTTTAAAAATGGTGCGGACTTTCCGCACTGTTCGCTTTAGCGGTTACGCCCCTGGGTACATCTGCCCGATCTCAGAAGCTAGATTTGGAGGTCATACTTGAAAGCAGCCAGCAGGATGAGGCAAAAGTTGGAGGCCCCTGAAAATAGGAGGCCCCTGGAAAAGGAGGCCCCTTGACAGGGTGGCCCACCCACTTTTCATGACGTTCCTACGCCCATGGTTTATCCCTTCCTAGCCATTCATATATGAGTAACTTCAACCGCTGCTCACCATCCGTGACTAGTAGGGTAATCCGTGACCCCAGCTCCGTGGCCAGGTGACTGATGGTGTCGGCAGCCACTCCCTGGAGAGATACTGACAGACCACTCCCGTACCGTCCAGGCCACATCGACTTCGTCACCTCCGGCCCTGTCGGACAGAGCTGTGTCAGCTGACAGCAGTCGGACGGAGCTGCTGCCGGGTCGGGAGGCGGCTGACACTGTGGTGTCAAACCCTGACACAGACGACACTGACAAAGCCAGGGTCGATCGGCACTGTTGGACAGTAATTGAACACTGTGCACAATGCATGCACTACGCTTATACATGCGTCAGTTAATTAATACAGTTCAGTACATACAGGTCATACAGGTTCAGTACATACAGGTCATATTCGTTTGCAATAGTATAAAGTAGGTATGTACAGCCCACCGCTAAAGTAATGTAGGGTTTTACCAATCTCAACGGTTGGCTTTGACTGGCGATTGTTTAACCCTCGCACGACCAGGCCATTTCTCATAACACGAACGACCAGGGGGGGGGTTGTTACGACCCCCCCCTGGCGTTTCGAAACGGAAGGTCGTAGAGCTTAGCGGAAAAGACCAACGGATTGCTCTCGCCGAGATCTCGCGATTGGTGGTATATTTTTTGGTCCTAGGTCAACATTTGACCTACTTTTGACCGGTCAAAGGTCAAATTTTCGGAAAAATAGACTTTTTTCAACTTTCGGCGGCGATTGCGGCAAAACGGTGGGAGATATCGACTTGAAACCTTCACTATCGTGTTCCTTGATCAATTCTCTATCGTTTGGTATGTATTTCGTTTCCCTAGCTCTAAAAATGGCGCGTTGGGAGCGCCGGAAGTCGGCAAGGTCACAGTCGGCGGCAGAAATTCGAAAAATCAAAATTTAAATTTTTGAAATCTGATTGTATTTTTGGATTTGGGAGGTCCATTTGCTCCCTGTAGAAGCTAATATTGCTGCATATTCCCATTGAGGTGACAAGAATTAGCAAAATAGTGGTTCGGGCGCTTTTCAAAAATAGTACCGGACGCTGTTCCTCTTGTGACGTCATAGCTCCGTGACCTGACCTGACCCGGTCAAATTTCTTATACCATATGATAGCCAATACTTGCCCCAACATGCATGGGAAGTTTCATCACGATCCATCAACCGATGTCCGTACCACCGGCAGGAAACCTCGGGCGTTGACACTCAGTTTGTGAAAATCCGGCCGGAGGCTGTACCTCTTATGACGTCATAACTCCGTGACCTGACATGACCCGATCAAATTTTTTTCGGCAAAAGATGCGCAAAGGTTGCCCCATAAGGTACCCAAAATTTGGCGGCGCTGCGCGCCGCCGTTTTTGCACTATTTCCGAAAAACCTCAGGGGGGGGGTTGATACAACCCCCCCCCTAGGCGTTCTAGGGTTAATGCGGAGTGATCGAAAAGAAGATGTCAATAGCTAAAGTTGCAGCTGCAAGGGTGACGATACATATAAGCTACATTTCAAGTTTCATTGTAGTCTGGCTAATCGTTCCTAAGCTTCAGAAGCAGAACATACCCTTGACTGAAACCCCACATTACTTCTGCTGTGAACTGTACAATACAGTGGCTAATATTTGTGTAGCATGTAGGTAGCATGGCACACATATGTCCGCTGAACGTTTATCACTGAAACTGTTACTTTATGTACCATGTAAGTACCTACCACCATTCAGAAGTAATAGTACGCGTTTCCTCAACATATTCTTACCGGCAACGTATAGCGTCCTCAGTGACGTCGGCAGCAGCCGCAGCCACCGCCCCGTTCCGAAGGACGGGACCCTGACGGTCAGCTCCTCCAAGCGGGGAAGACTCTGCAGGAGCGCCGTCAGCTGATCCTCGCCAAGGGCTGACGGAGCGTCGAACGTCGTCACGGTCCTTAGCGCCTCTCTCAGCACTGTGGTATCACTGTGTGCCGGTGGCTGCGGCTCCGTCTGTACCGTGACGTCACTGACTGCCGATGGCTGGGGCTCCGTCTGTACCGTGACGTCATTGGCAAGTTTTCTAGCCCTACTGAAGAAAAAAAGAACAAAGTCTATAAATCCACTGATCAGGCATAACAATTCCGCACTTATTGTCGGCTCATTTGATATTTCGATATACCTTTCCATATCATCGTCGTCAGTAATGGCATCGTCAAATCTACTCGGTTGTATAAAATCGTTCAGAGTTAATTTGATACGACTCTGAACGATTTGATACGACCGACTAACTAGATTATGTGACACGATTGCTGATGAAGACATGTAAATAAGTGCGGGATATGGTGCCCCGAACTGGCCAACTTTATGCAGGACATCTGTCGAAAACTTGAACAATATGATCGAGACTAGACGGCTGACTTGCAAAAGATGGTACGAATTCAAGGCATGTTTTTTTAATTGGGCGGAAATTACAATTACAAGCTACTCGACCTTCAAAGACCTACTGTTAACGCCAGACCCCTTGAGACCCTATTTTTTCGCGATTATGTTTAAATGCGTGGAAGAATTTCAACCAAGTTCAGGACATGGCCGTTTCAAAACCTGCCGACACTTTTACAATTTAGATATTTTATCGCCATCTCAATATTTCAGGCACTTCTCATTGACTCGTAATGTTAAATTTCGAGCAAGATTTTCACCCGGTGTGTAGAGGCTATCACCAGTCAGTCTGTGATACGTTATGACGTCACAGCTAAGCCCCGCCTCTGTGGTCTTGGCCTGCGGCGGTTTCGGGCCGGCGCGCGGTCACTCGCGCTGTGGCGGGGAGCAGGGACGGTCGAGCGGTGCCGAAAGCCGGCGGAGTTGTGCGATAACGTCTTGGCTGACAGTGCCCAAAGAACGACATGATGACTGAGGAGCCATAAATGCTCAATGCGCATTGCTTGCACATTACTGATATGTTCGCTGATATTTGTTTTATTTTTATACGCTGCAAATGACGGGCAGATGGCATATAACTGACATAAGGTTAGGAAATATTCACCTGTATTTAACCCTCGCCGGCACAGGGGGGGGGTTGATGCAACCCCCCTAAGGTTTTTCGCGAATAATTCGTGTAAAAAGCAGCCGATCGCAACGAAACTTTCAGTACCCTCGCATTGATCAATTTTACACGTTTCCTGAAAATTTCATGACCCTGACCCCAATGACCTTTGACCTGTGACCTCTTTTCCGTGACCATGTTTGGCCGAAATCACGATTCGGCGTATGTCGGCTCGCATTAGCCGCGCGTTTGCAAGCTTTTCGTGGTTTCAAACGTTCAAATATGTGATTTGATGTTGCTCCCATACATTAGGGTGGGTGTCAAGGTCACCTGAAGGTCAGGTCAGGTCACTGACCTTTGGTGACCTCGGGTGACCTCGGTTCACTTTTTCGAGTTTTTCATGTTTATAGGCTAGCTTTTGGAGCTGAATTCGAATTTAGCAACCATTTGAACATTTACGAGTAGTTTTGGTGCCTTCGTAACATGTTACGAAGCTGTCAGAGGCGGCTGACTGACACGTATTACGAATACCCGTCACAACCCCTACCGGTTGACCTGACCTGACCCGACCTGGTCTAAATGCTTAAAAACATCATCTCTGATCAAAACTAACACGATATTCGTAATCAGCACCCCGGAAAACCACTTAGCAGCCATACTTTACGACTTTCTAACAGGTCCCGATTTTCCCGGTTTTCGGGTCATTGACCTGACCTGGAAGGTCACTCGATGACCTAGGACCTAAAACTTGGGTATCATCGGCTTCCTCTCGTGACGGGCAACACGCTCGTTTTTTCCGCGAAGCTCTAGCTCGATCAGGGGCCAAACGCGAGGGGGGTCGTACCAACCCCCCCCCCCCCCTTGTGCCGTCGAAGGACTCAAAATGGCCTGTGCCGGCGAGGGTTAAAGCCTATGGCGTTGCAGATAATGCGATAATGGGATGTCGAATGTCACCAAGTAGCTGCCGATTTGTACATCGCTATGAAACCATCGAACAACGCAATAATAAGTTAATTGCCTTCGCTTCACATCTTAACCCTATTCCTGGCGGGGGGGGCCTCAGGAGCCCCCCCCCCCCCTGAGGTTTTTTGGTTATTTCTCCCAAACGCGTTGAGCTAGGAAGCTCAAATTTTCTGACTTTTCCTAAAAGGCTTCTACGCAACATGTCTGAAAATTTTGAGTTGATTTGACCTCAGGTCAGGTCACCAGAGGCGGTTTGGTGACCCTACCTCAGAAAAGTTTGCAATCACGCCAGAGCTAGAGTTTTTGACCGATCAATTTCTTCTCTTCAGGCCTTAGTTAGGGTACCAGTATGTGCAATTTGTATATCTCGGAATTTTGATATCGGTGACCTAAGGTCAGGTCAGTTTCGCGACCTCCCCATTATAAGTCAATGGGGGAAAAATCAATTCCCTGTTTTTACCACTAAAATGGGTCGGAATGGCCCCATTTACCATACATGACTTCATATACGATCAACCTTCACTACCTTGAGGTCTGTTTTGCTGTTGGGCAGCTGTGAGGTCATGTGACGTCATCAAAGGTCACCAAAGGTTTTTGGCCAATAACTCCGTACAGGAACAAGATACAGAAGCGTGGATGGTCTCATTGTGTTCAGCTCGTCAAGACGCATCGAATTATATACATGATGACCTCGAGGTCACGTGACCTGAGGTCAACCTTTGACCTTGACCTTTCGAGGTCAACATATATATCATTCGATGCGGATTGACGAGAGGATCACGATGATGCCCTTAGTTTGTTCCTATCTTGACTAATTCGAAAGTTATTCGAGAAAAACTCTCTCCATATCTAGCGCCGCCATTTTGACTTTTTCGACCCCTGTAACGTCATCTTTGACCTGACCTGAAAATGACCTGAGTAAAAATTGTAGATCTTGACCGTGCGTATCCGATGCCGTTTACCGTTTGTCGCTGCGATGTGTAGTTTTTGAGATCTGAAGCGGGGGCCGAATCGGCCCCCCCCCCCCCCCCCCCGCCAGTTTCTTGTCCCGGCGGAGCCCGCCAGGAATAGGGTTAAGGCTCGCTCGTATTTCAAACAGATATCCTACATCGAAAATCGTATTTGTTAGGAATCGTTAACGCACGTGTGAGTAGTGGGTTGAGGAGTGATGGTCATCTTGGTCCTATATTACAAGAGTCAACAAGAGCCTAACATTTACTTGACCGTCTGCTGCAATTGATTCATAGCACGTGAAGCGTCAGCGAAATTCATAAAGTCCTTTACAGATGGCAGGGGTGTCGTTTGTACAGAGGTCGCTGATGGGCACGGGTCAATGCTGCAGTCGTGGGCGGAGCCAAATGTCATATGGCGTATGAAAGCCTCTATCCAGGATGGAAAAACAGTTAACATTACGAGTCAATGACAAGTGTCACAAATATTTAAGTGACAACAAAATGTATTTGAAGAAAAAAAATCGGCAGGTCTTGAAACAGCTCCTTTCTAACTAAATATGGTTGAAATTATTCCACGCATTTAAAAATAATCGCGAAAAATTAGGGTCTCAAGGGGTCTGGCGTTAACAGTAGTGGTGGTTTATTTCTTACACCTTCTACAAAGAACGTTTACTTCTCACCATGACAGCTCTCCGAAATATCTCAGCCCCCACAGCCACCCCTGCTGCCTCCCAGTCTCACCCCTGGGGACGGCCGGATGGCGCCGCTCGCCGGCGGACCTCCTGCCGCAGATCCTCCACCACGGTCTGGCGAGTGGTCCGCTCCTCGATAACTGCCTGCTCCAGGCGGACCATCGCACCGTGAAGTGCGGCGTACTCCCCCTGGACTTTGGCCACCACTTTGCTCAGTGCGGCCACCTCCCGGCGAAGGGCGGCCAGGTCTTCACGCACATCTGTCATCTCCATCTGGAATGCAGAATTACAGTTTTTTACGTTTCTACTAATCATAAAAAGGTTACATAGTACGTAGCGTTACGTCGTACGCATTACGACATGACGTGCAGATCAATCACGTCACAAAACGACATGTCATTACTATTACGACATGTTTTGTCATGCAACCCGTATTGTAGCATACCAGGCAGGCAAGCTTGGCAGGCAGGCAGACAGGTCTTAGGTAACCAATATCAAAATTTACTATCGTTACTAGTTTTTCGCAAAAAAAACGAGATAATAAAGACACGTTTATCACTACGAATGTTTACCCCGTGGCCAGGCCTTTTTCATAACGCGGACGGTGCAGGGGGAGGGTCTGGTTGAACGACCCCTGGCGATTGGCTCCTGATGTACTTAGAAACACCAGATGTATACTTATAGGATGGATCGGATGTATAGGATACAGCCAGTCACACAGCAGGACTGACACAGTCACACAGCAGGACCTCGGCTAAGGAATTTCGACTGGGGGATGGGGGGCAAACCAGACTCCAGTAATCAGAATGTCATATACCACCTAATATGCACCGTATAAGCGGACCTTTACACCATACCTAACATTCATACCATATACCGTAGGTAACGGTATACCAAAATTCTGCCTAATCAGTTAAGCATACGTAAACATGTCTAAACAAACTTCTATCAAAGGTTTGGAGGCCAGCGTAGGGCCTTCAGAAGCCGAAGTCGAGCCGTCGGAGGCTAGCATGGTCATTTAGAGTCCGCTTTGGGACCTTAAATAGCCAAATGTGGACGTGGGGCCCAAAGAAGCCAGTGCGTAGCCCTTTTAGACCAGCGTGGGGTAATATAAGGGCAGCGTGGGTTCCTCTAAGACCAGCGGCGTGGGGTCTTCTAAGCCAGATTGGGGCCCACTGGGAACAGCTCAGCTTGGGGCTATCTAAGGACAATGTAGGCCCTCTTAGGTTAACGTGGGGCCCTCTGTCCTCTGAAGTCTAAGGTTGGCGCTGGGCCCTCAGAGGCTGGCGTTGGACCATCAGAGGCCACCTAGAGGGCCTCGACGGTCAGACTGTAGCCCTTATGCATGTTTAACCCACAAGCCGCTGGATGAGACATAAAGTTGCCCCCCTTTACATTTTGCGGAATATCTCCGAAACCTGATAAGCTACGAACGTGAAACTCAAGGTAGCTTCAAATGAATACCTAGGCAATGTTTGAGCAAAATTTGGTGGTTGTAGCACTTAAGATGGCGTCAGAGTGACGTCATAAAATATTGTCGTTTTCCTATACGGACCGTTTCTGATGTCGCTGAGCATGAAACTCAACTGTAAATGAACTAGACAGCACCTGCTGTCATCTTGAAACACCTAAATACACTTCCATCTAGTTCCTGACCAATAATCGGCCCTTTATATACGGTCCCATATATCTGATACATCGTGAGGAAACTGGAGAGTCGCAAATCTATAATTTCACTTATGACGTCACTGTGACGTCATTTCAGATGAAATCGACATTAAATTTGGACACAACCTCGGCTATGTATTCAGGAAGATATGTGCAAAGTTTCGCTTCATTATCTCTTCGCGTTGCGACGATATCGTCGCAGAAGTAAAGGGGGGCAACTATATGCCCCCCCCCCCAGCGGCCGGCGGGTGGCGCGGAGGCCCAGCGGCCGCCGGGTACTTTAACCCTCGCCCGTAAACGCTGTTTTGCCACCTTCGCCCATGCAGGGGGGGGGGGGTTGGTGCGACCCCCCCCCCTGGCGTTTGAAAACGAAGCGTCGTAGAGCTTAGCGGAAAAGACCAACGGATTGCTTTCAACGAGATCTCGCGATTGGTGGTATATTTTTTTGGTCCTAGGTCAATATTTGACCTACTTATGACCGGTCAAAGGTCAAATTTTCGAAAAAAATCTAACTTTTTCAGATTTCCGCGCCGATTGCGGCAAAACGTTAAGAGATATCGACTTGAAACCTTCACTATCGTGATCCTTGATCAATTCTCTATCGTTTGGTGTGTATTTCGATGTCATAACTCTAAAAATGATGCGTTGGGAGCATCGGAAGTCTGCAAGGTCATTTTTGCATTGGGTCACGTCAGGCGTGTGACGTCACTGACCTGACCCTGACCCAAAATGAACTACAAGAAACAACCGACGATGCCTGAAATGGATAGCAAATTCGAATTCAGGGCATCAAAATACCCCGAAAAGGCATACAAGTGCAAGAAGTCATTACAGGTCAACCGAGGTCACTGACCTTACCTTGAACTTTAGTGACCTTCAAAATGTCAACGGACATTGTGCCAATGTCAAATCAGCCAGTTGTGATTCTAAAACAATCCATCAGTGCGTCAGGTCAGTCGGCATTTATACCAATGTGAAGCAATCTCCAATTTAGCGTAAATCTGGCCGGAGGTTGTTCCCTTTATGACGTCATAACTCCGTGACCTGACATGACCTTGACAAAAAAATACCAAAAGTTGCGCAAAGGATGCCCCAAAGGGTACTGAAAATTTGAGCAGGCTATCTGAAGCGGTTCGGCGTGTAGCTAAGAAAAACCTCAGGGGGGGTTGCACCAACCCCCCCCCCTACATGGGCGAGGGTTAAACAAGGATTACACGACACTTTCATATTGTCATCCTCAGTGACCTGACCTCTGTTACCTGACCTGGTATCAGTGACCTCAAATAGCAAAATATGTGTTTCACGCTCAATTTTTGCGCGGGTTAACAAAAAGATCGGTTTTTTATTTTGTTTTACATTTTAGGGGATTATTTCAAAAGTCACTTTTTTAATTTGGGGTTCAAAATCAAAATAAATATATAACAAACAAGATAGCAGTTTTGTAGCGCTGCTCGTTTTATATCTTTTTGTTTTTCAACATTTTTCTTTATCTTTAAAACTTTGGGCTTGGCAGCTCCTCCCATCAAACCTCTTTTGGGTCGGAAATGCCTGAACGTGACGTCACTCTGACGTCATTTGCGGCCCACCTATCATAGACTGTGGAAGAAAAGGTAACGAGGTGTAAAACCGATTTACAAGAGGGTTCTGAAATTTTCGCGGCGATCGGCGCATTAATTTGGGAGATAGTGCGAAACGACTGGAACGGGGGGCATAAAATGCCCCCCACCAGGACGCGGGTTAAAAAGTTGTCATTGGTTCCCCTAAAGTAAAGGTAATCTCAATATTGTGGATACGCCGCTGGATGTTCTCTACGGTATTAGACTAAGAGCAGTGTAAACACGGGCGACAAAATATGAAAAGGAAATAGGATTGATTGACTTTCACATTGGGTTTGACAGCTTGGAGAATATTTATTTGAAGCGCATTATATTTACTCTTACAGGGTGGGCAAAATCTCGTCACTGCCGGGGCAACTGGCAGCCACTGCGGGACATTTGCCCCCTCCCCAGTAGCGCGGAACACCTTCAATTAACCCTCGCCGGACCTATTGGTTTTCTACATACGCGCCGGCCGAGGGGGGGGGGGGCGGGTACGACCCCCCCTCGCCGTTTCGCCCCTGGTGGAGCTAGCGCGTCGCGGAAAAAACGAGCGTGTGCGCCGTTACGAGACGCAGAGATTGGTACCCGATTTTAAGGTCCTAGGTCAACCGGTGACCTCTGAGGTCAGGTCAAGTGCCCCAAGGTACGGTTCAGTTTTTGGTGAATAACTTCGCAAAAAACGGCCGCAGAGCCGCGATTTTGGCAGCATCGTGTTCGCCTTGATCAGGCGCGTCGAATGATATACTTTTTGTCCGGGTCAGGTCAACTTGGGGTGTTGACCTCAGGTCAAGGTCAGGTCAGCACCCCCAGGTCACGAAGTTGGTCGAAAGAGGTCAAGTCGCATATCATTCGATTCGGCAGGTCTTCCTGAGTCCATTGGTGGCTTTCCCGACTCGCTAGCTCAATTTGATCGGGAGTTATTGACGAAAAACTAATATGACCTTGATGACGTCATAAATGACGTCACGGAAGGTCAACATTGCAAAAGTGACGCATCTAACCTTGCAAGGAGTGCATCAAATCACGATTCTGTGTGCTTGAGATAGTTGGAGATCGTTCCCGGCGCCAGAATAGCAGTTTTCATTTTTCCCCATTGACTTATAATGGTGAGGTCACGAAAATGACCTGACCTCATATGACCTTTAGGAAAAATCCGAGATATACAAGTTGTGAGACTCATAATGGATACTAGATCCTGCAAGTTTCATTTCCCTGTGACATCTCCTCTGGCAGTGAGGGCGTTGCGAAGTTGCGACATCTGAAGACCGTGCAGAGGTTCACTTATGACGTCATAGGTCAGTGACCTGACCTGACCCAAAAATGCGGTTGGTGTCAAAAGATGCGGCTTGGATCAAAGGTCAGGTATGCCAAGTTTCAGCTCTCTATCGCCAGCGTGTTCGGAGCTATCGCGAAAAAACCCTATGGGGGGGGGGGGCGGCACCCGCCCCCCCCCTCGGCCGGCGAGGGTTAAGGTGGGGGGGGGGGGGCATTGCCGACTTTTGGTCCCATTCTTTCCATGCAACGCCCATAGGGCTTATGTTAAAATGCCGAAATCAAGGGGACACGGTTCCCCGGTGCACCCCCCCCCCGTTCCGCCCCTTATGCCCTCTTCCCCGTTAATGCATGTAAGCACCCACATCCAAACACTCAGACGGGTACCTAGCACACAGAGAAGACACACAAAGTCTCACAGAATCACATACACACCGTTACACAAACACATGTAGTCTGACTATAGACACAGACGCACAAAACACACTCAACAACAGACACAGGGACACACAGATCCCCCCCCCTCACACACACACACACAGGTCGGTCCTGCTCACCTGATATTCGCCGCCTCCGCCGTGGTCGGCTCCGGTGGACAGAGCTCAGTACCGTCCACACACTGTTGGACCACCCGCTCTGTCGACTGACCCGGCCGGTGGACGCAGTGCAGCTCGTGCGGCTCCGGCTCCTCCGTCGGCCCTTTGTCCCGGTCTGGAACTGCGTCGGACATCAACACCGCGAGTCGGTGTGTCGGCAGAATCGATCGTGTTCAGTGAGTCGGCGGCGCGGCGTTCCAGACTGATGACGTCAGCGGGGGGTCACCAGGGTTACAGGGACAACACGGGCCGCCGGTCGATGTGCAGCAGCACCCTCCACCCCTTCCCTTCCCTTCCTCAGTACCCGGGACAACTCTGCAACTCGGCAAAACACAACATAGTGACGACTGACGAGCAGGCATGAACGGTTGAAAAACAAAACCGATGATAGGCGTAAATGGGTAATGGTGAGCGGTGGCGCAAAAGGACCGCTCGATTTGCATAGGCCGTGAACAAAGGGTCGCCGCCGCCGCCGCCGCCGGGGAGTCGCGGTGTCGCGGCCTGCAGCCGGCAGCGGCCCCTCCCCGTCGGAGCAGCGGAGGAGGGTGCGTGCCGCGGGGAGGGGAGCCGGCGGCGGGGGAGGGCGCCGGCACCTGCCGACCACCTGGTGCCCCGCGGCGCCCCGGCGCCCTCCAGCCAGGCGTGACCGCGCCGCCGGCGCCCTCCCCGCCCTTGACCAGACATAGACCCACCGCCGCCGCTGCGCCGCGACCGCCGCCAGCGCGAGCCGACGGTGACCATTGTGACGCACATTGGACGGGGCGTGCGCCGCGCTCGCCCCCAGTGCGCCGCATTCGTGCTCAGCCGTCCGTGAAATCCCATTTGGCGCATTGTGCGAGCGGGAGACGCGTGCGGCGGCGCCGTTGAGAACAGGTGGAAAGGTTTCCCGGCGGTTGGGTCACAGCGCGCAGGCCAGCGGGCGGCCGCGGGCCGGGACGACAACCGAGGTCCTTCGGCGGCTCGCCGACAACGTTGACAAATCGTGTTTTGTATTTTACACTCGCACAAGGTCGCACGGGTCGCCTGTGCGACACTGTGCCAAATTTGTTCTCAACGAGAATAAAGTGAGTCGGTGACAAGCAAAAATCGGCACGGAGCACCGTACCGGAACTTATGGCCATTTAGCACGGTATGTCGGTTTACCGCGGACCATGTAAAAGGCACAGTGGGTGGCGACATTCCTTCTTGCACTGGTCGTTTGCCGCTGGCACTGTCAGGGAGCCGACCAAGGTAACTACGGCCCCCCCTCGATAAACCAGGAATTGAGCTGAGCTGCTCACACCTCGGTACATACCGAGAGACAATGGCGCGGCGTCTTCCGTGGGTGAAAAACCGACATTTTTCTGGCTTTGAAAATTGCAGCCTGCATTTGAAAAAAAAAATGCATTTGCATTTGAGCCTACAGTGAAGTATGCAAAAGTCAAACAAATATGTGACGCCTCAATCAAAAATGAATTTATCGCTGCTTTTGATAAAGCTATTTTAGATTTACACCGAAAGAGTAGTACCTTGCTTGAAATACTCGTGCTTCTACCTCATGCTGCTTGTCACGGAAAATTTATTTTCTACCGTGGATCTGGTAAGGCACTAATGGCTCTGTCCACCACCACCGGTAAGCCACCAAGGCTTGTGGTAGGCCATCATCACTGTAAGACATCATGGAATGCCACCAATCAGGGTGGTCACATTGATCTGTAAAGAGCTGCTGATGGGCCCCGGTAGCTCTGTTTGCTATACACTTCGTCAGGCGTGTGACACATTCATGGCAGCTGGGACCTGACCGATAAACTGTGGCAAACGGTGGCGTGCAGATTTCTACCGTGAAACCCACCAAACCCACTCTTTCTCTTGATATGCAGACATTAAAAATCCGACAAATTGTTGCGAAAAGGAAATCGAAAGTCAGGAGCAATTCAATGCATAACGCCTTAATTCCGCTGCACGTTGCTCCACTACCACCACACGGCAGTGTGTTGGTAGCTCAGTGCTCCGCCCGTCTGTGACCACTGCACGTGTAGCTGACCACGTGTGCTGCGCCCCCCCCCCCACCCGGTGCGGCAGGCGGCCCCTTTGTGCGCCCGCCGGTGTGACGGCCTCCCTCCGGCCCGGAGCAGGCCGGTCAGCTCTGGCGTCACGGCCCGTGACGACCGTCACCGCGGCGGCAGGGGAGCGTCACGGCCCGGCGCCCCGGCCGGTGAATCGGGCCACCCGGCGCCGCCAGACGGGCGGGAGCGTGGGGCAATTACCCACTGCCCACCGCCGCGGGCCCACGATACAGGCCAGTGATAGAGTCGCTGCACCAGTCACACCGGGAGCCATCATTGCCATCAAAACCATCAACACCAGCTGCATGGTCAACCCTGGCCGGCAGCCGGCAACAGCCCGACGTTCACTGAAAAATATAAAACACTGGTCGGGTGTTTTATCAGTGTATTATGGGTGTTAAGCACCATTAATGATGTATCATGACACAAATAGCAGTGTCATTACCACGCTCAACACCGTTATTGGTGTAATGGCATTGCTTGAACACGGTTTAAGGTGTCACATGACACTTGAAATAACACACTTGGGGTGTAATCGAGGTGTCTCAACTCCCATCTAACACATTTTTTGGTGTTACAGAGAAAACATAACACCCGTTAGGTGTACTGAGGGTGCCATGTCATCCCTTAAACACCGTTTAAGGTGTCACACGACACTTGAAAAGCACACTTGGGATGTACTCGAAGTGTCGTAGCTCCCATTCAACACTCCTTTTGGTGTCAAAGAGAAAACAAAACACCCTCTGGGTGTATTGAAAGTGTCATGTCATCACTTAAACACCGTTTAAGGTGTCACACGACACTTGAAAGAGCACACCTGGGATGTAATCGAGGTGTCGTAACTCCCATTCAACACTCATAGCAGTGTCATTACCCCGTTGAACACCGTTATTGGTGTAATGACATTGCTTGAACACCGTTTAAGGTGTCACATGACACTTGAAATAACACACTTGGGGTGTAATCGAGGTGTCTCAACTCCCATCCAACACCTTTTTTGGTGTTGCAGAGAAAACATAACACCCGTTAGGTGTACTGAGTGTGCCATGTCATCCCTTAAACACCGTTTAAGGTGTCACACGACACTTGAAAAGCACACTTGGGATGTACCCAATCGAAGTGTCGATCCCATAAACACTCCTTTTGCAGGTGTCAAAGAGAAAACAAAACACCCTCTGGGTGTAGGTATTGAAAGTGTCATGTCATCACTTAAACACCGTTGAAGGTGTCAGTGACACTTGAAAGAACACAATGATAGGTATCATATCACATCACATCACAATGTAGGTATTGAAGTGTTATGAAATGTAAGTGTTAGCTAGTATTATCGTAGGGGTCTGAGCCGTAGGGGGTCTGAGCCAGGGAATGACTAACACCGTTCGTATTCTCTTGGTACTTCATGTAGTTATACATGTTATTGTTTAGCTGGGACAGAGACATTCTAGCATAAACATATTCAAATTACCAGCTTCGTTTATTAGTTACGGGAGCTTTCGAAAGACGTTCGTCTTTCTTCGTCAGCCTGTCTTTGCACTGTCAGACACCCTTGAAATTCCCTATGGGTGCAGTTGGGTAGATGGCGCTGCTGTGCTGTATGGTGTACAGAGTTTGCATTTATATTCTAATGGATTTGCTTCAACTACATCAAATAAACAAATCCACGATAATAAATAAATAAATTCATATACAATACTTCAAAGAAAACGCGCCGGGAAAATATTGGGAACATAATGCAGCCCTAGTAGCCCATGTTCAACCGTTGGCTTCCATGCGGCCGGCCGCCATACTAGTTTGAATCGTGCGCGACTGCGGGCGGAGGCGCTGGTGGGATTACGGTGTGTTGGGAGTATAAGTGTGTGCAAGTGAGTTAGAAGTGATCGTGAGTGGTGTCTTGGTACTCGAAGAGCTCCAGTTTTAGCAAAGGTGAGCTATTCTTGGCTAGCAATGGCACTGCTGCGGATTCCGAAAGACATGGTACTGGCCGCTGGGGGGGGGGGGGGATGGCGGCATACCCCCGATAGGGGTTCTTTAATATCCGAAAAATATATCCTCAGATTTTTTTCTCTTGTGTTGGTGTGCAATTTAACACGCACCCTGCTTGGGTATTTATCCGAATTCGTAACCCCACTGGAGAGGGGGAGGGGGTTGGATTCTGCTTATTTCTATTATGCTCCGCATATCCGTGCTGCTAGACTGATTTGCGATGCAATGTGGTGGCATTTGTTCCCTGCAACCTACATTCTGTGTGTAACTTCATAACGCTGTATCATATAGGTATGCATACAACTTATTGATTCCCCATTGGGTACAGGGTGTCAGGTACAAATGTATCACTGGTAGTTTAAATGAATTGTTTATAATAACAAGGTTGAATAACACCAATGATGAAAGTGGGTGTTCAGTTTATCACACATGTGAGCGTCATTCCCTGCAATGTCAGTGTTTGTTATCAATTTTACACCGTTACGAGTGTTACTAGGGTGTCTTAACAGTGTTGAAGTACACCCTTAATGGACGCCTGAAGGATGAGCTTAAATTCCAAAGGGCGTTAAAAACAACGTAACCCGAAGCTGATATTAAGGGAGCCTTAGATTAGGTCAAAGGTCAGCAGGGGCGGATCCAGGAATTTTCGGGAGGGGGGGGGCGGCAAGTCGAAATAGGGGCGACCTGGCAATCCGGGGGCGCTCCATACAAAGGGGGCGCCAAACCGTCAAAATCGGGAGCTAAAAGCCCGCGCCGTGCTAGGGGGCGTTATCGCGCTCCCCCTCAGGTTTTTCGCAAATATCTGAAAGACGGCTGCGCGCAGCGTCGCCATTTTCAGCTTACCTTATCATGCATCTTTTTCCACATGATGTAAAAATGTCTGACGCGGGTGATGGAAGGTCAGGTCACCAGGTTATGCCAAGTGACCTAGCCTAAGAAAAAGTTCAAATGCTTACCATTGCTATACCGACTGAACGATTGCTTTGAACCTTTCAGCGATTGATGAAAGCAACACTACTCATGAAATGTATATCTCGGAATTTCGATATCTGTGACCTAAGGTCAGGTCAGTTGTGCGACGTCTCCATTAGGTAGGTAGGTATAATTAAGTCTTTGGGAGAAAACTGAAAGGCATCTCTTTTGGACGAGCGCCGTTTTAGACAATATCAAGCAT